CTAGCGATTTAGAATGTAATTGCGATATTGAAAATTTATTTTTAAAAAGTTTTGGCTCAAGACCATATAATGAAAAAGAAAACATTATTAAAAGAGAAAGACTAATGCCTAAATTAAATATAAATACTTCAACAAAAAATTTCTTGGACATTTTCACGATAAAATTTATGAAGACATTAGTAAATAATATAAAATAAATATTGAAAATTATAACGAGATAGTTACGGCTAATAGATATAACATTTATTAATTTAGATATATGTTTTTTCTCAAAGCAAAAATTGGCATTTAGAGGGCATAGGGAATCTATTCAATCTAATTACAGAGGTAATTATATTGAACTTGTTTATTTATTAAGTAAGTCAAATAATCTATTAAAAATACATTTAGAGAAGCCTATGGTTTTTACTGGCTTATCGAACAAACGAATACGATTGGACCACTGACGAGCAATTAACTGATTACCCCTGGATGTCGGCTTCTTACAGAAATACAGCTTCCCTATCTCGGCACGCCACTGAAGCACACTTATCTACAGTAAATTATATCACATGTCTAACGATTAAGATTGAACGGTGATTGAAATTAGTAAATAATTATACAGATATAAGATTTGTCTTATTGCTCCCACTTTTCATTTATGTCTTAAAACAGCTTGTTAACGCTAGGATTTATCGGCTTGGCCAAAACAAAATTGATTTGTGCAGTAAAGAGGGGAAGAACCTTTGAGTTAGGCCTGTTTTGAGTGTTTAGTGATTTAGAAATTAGAGAAATCATAAAAACATATGTATAATATGAATATCGATGAACTGATATAGAAAATTAAATCAGAAAAAGCCAATTACAGTAAAACTTGTGTAAACCGAAATCGCGCGGTACCAAATATTTTCTTTGGTTTAGCAGGTTTCCGCTTTAAACAGGCTTTTTAATATAGTAATTCGCTCCGTTCCGAAGAATTTCTCCCATTTAGGCAGTTTCCGTTTTGGGCAGGTTTCACCGTACATATTTAGAAAATTTTGTAATCAGTACAAGTTTTTCACGAAGTAATCGCTCGTATTCTCGTTACAGTTTAGACAAGAAAGGAAATTCAACGAGTTACGTAATTTATCCGGATGTTTTAATTAATATCAGTTATTTTTTTAAAATAAAATCTATCATTAATCATAGTGTGTGTGTGGCGCACTCTGTTACGAAATTTTGTAATAAAATCTTTTTATCTATACTAATACAGTATATAAAGAGGTAATGTTTGTATGTATGTAAGTTTCGTTGCAGCAAGTAATCTCCGAAACTACTCATCCGATTTCAAAAATTCTTTCACCAATATTTAGAATGGAACCTCAGGATGGACATAGGCTGTATATTATTCCGTTAAACATTCATATAAATTAAAATATATAATCGAGGTTAAGGCTTTTATGTCCAACAGATGGCGCTACGAGTACGACACCCTAAGTTTGCTTTTCTGCGAGGCATTATGCTTTTCTGTGAAAATGAACTAAAGTGGATCATCTTCTATCTATCTATATAAATAAAAATGTAATGTTCGTTTGTTCCTACCGATTCCTTTGAAATTTTGACA